GCATTAGATTCTCATAAGGAGCATGCAACCTAGATCCCCCGCATGCGCAGTTCACGATAGGGTTCACGCTCCTATGAGAATCTAATGCCCTGACTGATCTGACAGGAAGGGTTGCTCAGGACGTAATGCTCGCTCACCCGCTGCTCACCTCCTGCTGTGCGGTCGGTTCCTAACAGGCCATGGACTGGCGATTGGGGACCCCTGTTTCCTAGTCTTTCTTTTCTTTTCGCTTCACTTTCCCAGGTTTTTCACTAAGGCAGTCGTTCACGATAGTAAAGGATTTAAACTGATGACATAGAAGGAGTTAGGAAAAAATATAGGAAACAAATGTAAAGTTGGTAACGCTGACAGGCAAAAATGTTAATTTTTAAACCACCAGAGAATACACCAGATCCCTAAATAAGCCAGTTCCTCTTACCCATCTGTGCCTTTTCAAAAAATATGTTTAAAGAAAATGGAAAAGTACAGAGAAAATGTAACAACACCTACCTCAACTACAAAATGTTAAGAATGTATAGTTTCCTTCAGATAGTATCGGTCCCCAGATAGTGTAGGCTGGGGATTAGGCCCCCAACCTCTGGGCCGCCGACTGGTAGTGGTCCATGGCCTGTTAGGAACCAAGCTGCACAGCCGGAGGTGAGAGGTCAGCATTACCACCTGAGCTCCGCCTCCTGTCACATCAGCAGTGGCGTTAGATTCTCATAGGAGCGTGAACCCTATTGAGAACTGCACATGGGAGGGATCCAGGTTGTGCACTCCTTATCCTTATGAGAATCTAACTAATGCCTGATGATCTGAGGTGGAGCAGTTACATCCCGAAACTCCCCCCACCCCCAAAAATTGTTTTCCACGAAACCAGTCCCTGGTGCCAAAAGGCTGGGGACTGGGTATAGATGAAGCAGAATTCTTGGGCTATAGAGGATGTGCACTTTCAACTTTACAGATATCACCAAATTGCTTCCCAAAGCAGTGGTTATCGATTAATTTACCTTCTTATCTTGAGAATTCCCATCTTCTATATTCTTGTCAACATTTGGTATTGATAAACTTTTTTTAACCTTTGTGATGTAAGCGAAGCAGTGTTTCATTATTGCTTTACTTTGCATTTTCTTGATTACTAGTGAGATTATCCTTTCAAATATTTTCTAGCTATTTAGTAGAATATATAGACTTAGAATTATATAGAATTATGTATTTATAATTTTGCTCATTTTTCCCTAGTGTGTATCTTTTTCTTATGCTTGTTAACTTACATATGTTCTTAATATATTTTGAGAAATAAATCCTTTGTCCTTTTGTTTTTCAAATACCTTTTCGTAGTTTATTACTTATTTTAACTTTGTTTTCCAGAAAGTTTTGATTTTTATTATGGTCATATTTATGTATTTTTTCTTTGACTTCTCCTTTTTTATCTTGACTGAGAAGTACTTTCCTAACCTGACATCATAAAGTCATTTGTATTGGACAGGCACAGTGGCTTACACCTACAATCCAGCACTTTGGGAGGCCAAGGTGGGTGGATCACTTGAGGTCAAGAGTTGAGACCAGGTTGGCCAACATAGTGAAACCCCGTCTCCACTAAAAATACAAAAGTTAGCCAGGTGTGGTGGTGCACGCCTGTAACTGCAGCTACTACTGAGGCCAAGACACAAGAATTGCTTGAACCCAGGAGGCAGAGGTTGCAGTGAGCCAAGATGGCGCCACTGCACTCCAGCCTGAGTGACAAGAGTGAGACTCAGTCTCAAAAAAATAAAAATAATTTTAATTTTAAAAACTCATTTTTATTAATTTATTCTAAGTTTTGAAGTTTGATTTTCACATAATCAAACATTTAAAACTCCATATAAACTATGCTTTAACATTTAAAACTCCATATAGAGTAAACTATGTCTTTGTGTATTCTTTTAAATATATAATAATAATAAAATATAACACGATACAATATAATAAAAATAACTATTTTCATTTATATAATGCTAATTATATGGTAGTTTGTGTGCATGTTTCATTTCTAATCCCTACAACAGCTCAGATGAAGAAATTGAAGCTAAGTTACCTGTTTTAATTTTGCTTTTTACATGTGGAAAGCCTACTTTACCAACATCATTTCTTTTTTCTTTTTTTTGAGATGGAGTCTCGCTCTGTCGCCCAGGCTGGAGTGCAGTGGTGAGATCTCGGCTCACTGCAACTTCTGCCTCCCGTGTTCAAGATTCTCCTGCCTCAGCCTCCTAAGAAGCTGAGATTACAGGTGCCCGCCACCATGCCCAGCTTCTTTTTTGTATTTTTAGGAGATTTTTACCAACGGGGTTTTACCACGCTGGCCAGGCTGTTCTCGAACTCCTGACCTCATGACTTGCCTGCCTCGGCCTTCCAAAATGCTGGGATTACAGGCGTGAGCCACCGTGTCCGG